GGCAACATTACAGAATCACAGAATCACCCGGGTTGGAAGGGACCTCAAGGATCATGTAGTTCCAACCCCCCTGCCCAGCAGGGCCACCAAACATACACATTCAGATCAGGTTGCCCAGGACCCCGTCCAACCTGGCCTTGAACACGTCCAAGGACGGGGCATCCACAACCTCCCTGGGCAGCCCGTTCCAGGGCCTAACTACTCTCCTTGTGAAGAACTTCCCCCTAACATCCAACCTAAATCTTTCCTCCTTCAACTTGGATCCATTTCCCCTAGTCCTGCTGTTGTCAGCCCTTCTGAAGAGTTTACTCCCCTCCTGGGTGTAGGTTCCCTTCAGGTATTGATAGGCTGCAATGAGGTCACCCCGCAGCCTTCTCTTCTCCAGGCTGAACAAGCCCAACTCCCTCAGCCTGTCCTCATAGGGGAGGTGCTCCAGCCCCCTGATCATCTTAGTGATGAGAAGCGACAGAATCTGGTGAAAGATGATTTAGATTTGTGTTGCTTCAGCTGGTGGACTTGAAAGTTAGAAGTTCTTAGGAAGAGAATACAAAGCTAGAAGTCCAGGTATCCTCTACTCTTGCAGTTTTGTAGTTCATGTTGTTTATTTGGGTGTTGAAAACTCAGCTTGGAAAGCATTGTGTAGGGCTGTGGTGCTTGGAAATGTCAAGTATTCAGTTACATTCTTATGAGTGTAGACTTTTGCTAGGTGTATTATTGCAGGTGGGGCTCATTTGTATCCACAGTATGACTGTTGTCTTAGTCCTAGGCAATGTTTATAAGAAATGTGTTTTCTTGTCACAGTTTCCTCAAGGGCAGGAATAAGTAACAGGAATAAGCTTTCTAAAAACATATAAACAGCATGAACCATGTCTGCAAAGTTTAAGTACAAGTGGGAAGCAGAGAGATCAGAAGTACCTTGGAAGAGCTGCCCCCGAACCCTGCAGGTGGTGGTGCACCCTGTCCTGAATAGCAGCAGTGCATATGAGTGCAATTGCCAAAGCTGGGCTGCTGAGCTGCAATGACGTTCTGTTATTGCAGAAAGGCAATCTGCAGGATGCTGTCCCTAATGCTAAGCAGATTAACCGTGTATAAATGTTGCGATTGAAATTAGCTGGCACGCTGAATACTGCATCACACAGTTCATGTAGGAAATCCTCTTGGCTTAATTGTACGCTTAAAGGCTGTTTCCTGGTAGATGCTTAAGTCATTAGTTAGTATGGATAAACAAAATTGGATTTTTGATTGGGGAACAACAAACCCTTTGCATTTTTTTGGCTAGCTGGCTGCTTTAGGAACTTGATGCTTTGGAAACTTTCTGGTAAAAAAAAAACTTGAGCAGTATTCCTTAAGCCTTTGTCTAAATGAGGAATTGCAGAAAAGCTGGCTATCTCTTGTGACAACAGTGACTGAGTTTACAGTATAGGACAGGAAAGACTCATCAGTACTTTGCTGTGAGCGAGACATGATTTGAGAACTGTCTTTGCTCTTTGTGGGCTGTTGGCTCTGACCTGCAGTTCTGAGTCTGAAACCTTTGGCATCTCAGATTTAGCTTGGTAAATAAACAGGCCCCAAATAAAATGTTCAGGGATGCTTTTAAATACTGCGTGTGCTATTATTCCTTTGCTATTTTATGTAGAACCTGCTGACATCCAGTCACTAGAGGATAGTTTTCTCTTGTTTGTCTGTATGTGGTATCTGAACTTCAGCCAGGATATCAGTTTCCCTTTTTACTCTTGTTTTAAAATTCTTCTGACTGCAGAGGGAGAGGATATTTTTAACAGGAACTTTTTCACTTGCTAGGTTAGTTGCAGAATCAGTCTATCCAAAAGAAGTGCTCTGATGTAATTAGAGGTTTGTTTTTTAACCTGTGTGCTTGACTGGACAGAGTGTTTTAGGTTGAGCACAACTTTATATGGGTTAGGTTTTCAGCTTGTGACAAAACTGTAGGTGAACAAAGCGTCAAGCATGCTTTCAGACTGAAGTGATGGTAAAACAGTGTAATTCAGGTTGTGGTTGACAGCTTGCTTCTACCTGAAAGGGAAGGTGTAATTTCTTCCCCATGTTTCCCTTGTTCTTTCGCCTCTTTCCCCCCACAACTCTTTCATTTTTCCCAAATATGTGCTTTCAGCAACTTTCTTGTGTTAGTGCTGGTGCTGAGCCCTTGCAGAGCTTATTTCTGTTTATTACCCATTCTTTCTTTCCAAGACTGTTCTCTGCCTCTTAATGAGGTGATGAGACTGACCTGTGAGCAGACCTGCCCAGCACCAGAGCTGGTGTGAGGTAGCCAAGGGAGAGTCGTGGGGGAACTCCCTCACTCCATTTTATGATGATAAACCACTCAGTGAGGTCCTCAGGTCTCCTGATATCACAGCGATTGCCTCCTCACACAAAGCCCAGCATCTTGTGTTTGCAAAGGGCTAAGAGTGTTTGCACAGGTAATTGTTGTGGCTCAGGCAAAGTGGCTTAATTTGTTACACCACAAGCTCGTTGGCATAGCTCATTTGATAGTTCATGTTAATTAGAGCAGGAAACAGGAGAAACTGTGCTTAAAATTCTGCTGCTGAAAAAAAAAAGTTTGTGTCAGTGCTCTTTATTTATATTTAAGAACGGTCTAGTTACTTAGCTTCAATGCTGTCAAAATAGTATTAGTGGACTAATAGAATCAAGGTCATCAAGTCCTACCATCAACACTATGAAATCTTATCAGTTCACCACTGAACCATGTCCCAAAGTGCAATGTCCACACGTCTCTTAAACATCTCCAGGGGACTCACCGCCTCCCTGGGCAGCCTGTTCAAATGCCTGCTCACCCTTTCCATGAAGAAAAATTTCTTCCTGACATCCGATCTAAACCTCCAATGCTGCAACTAGACGTCACTGCCTGGTGTCCTATCACTTGTCACGTGGGAAAAGAGATGGACACGTCTTCACTGCAGCCTCTTGTCAGGTACCTGTGGAGAGGGATGAGGCCTCCCCTGAGACTCTTTTCCAGATTGCCTCAGCTGCTCCTCATAGATCTGATTCCAGTACGGAGCCTTGGAGAGCACCACCAGTGCTGATCTGCCAACTGGATTAACCTCCATTGATAGCAACCTTTTTCAGCTTGGCCATCCAGCTGCTTTTTTACAGTCCATCTACCCAAGCCATGAACAGTTTCTCCAGGAGAATGCTTTGGGAAACAGTATCAAATGCCTTGCTGAAGTCCACAGCCTTTTCCTTGTCCGCTAAGCTTGCTTTCATCCAAGTGAAACTGATGTGACTCCATACATGCATATGCACATGATCCAGCCCAGCTGAGCCCTGGAGGTTTAGCCTAAGCTGCTGATGGAGGCAGAGGTAGTTGACACTGGCTGTCAGTCCTGAAGCGATTATTTTTATTCAGTTGCACAGATCAGGAAGTGGTAACACTTCAAGCTGCCGCAAGTGTTTGAAAAGTGAGCTTGTTTCAGCACTCATTGAGATTCAGCCACACAAATGCAGCCTTGCCACTTCATAGAGATTCCTTAGGTGTGAGGAGAAGTATAGCTGGATCTGATACTGTTTTTACTACCGGAGGAGCAAATTTGGCACTTTGTTAGTGTTATCTCTGTTGTGTATTTAGCCTTTTTTAACTCTCTGAGGAGTAGAATCTGGCTGGCATCCCTGGGGCTGCTCTGGCAGGAAGGCGATGACACTATCAGGAGGAGACTGCTGAGATGAGTTAGCTGCATATGTAAGCAAAGATGCCATAAAAAACGTCTCCCTTGTACCCGCTGTGTTGTCTGACACTTTAAGCACTTCATTTAGAGTGAAGAAGTGGTGTGGGTGGACGGTGATCCTGCGGGTAACTAGAACCAATCCCACAGAGGACTTACATTCCAAGAAAGAGACAATGTGCTGGAGTTTTATTTTGGGACTACTTGTCCTGGTTTCAAGCAAGATTTGTCCTGTTTTTAGCTTTTTGGATTTGAAATGCATCTGACTGAGAGTTGAGAGAATGAAACGGAACTGGGGGAAACTGCCTGAGAAGAAATACGTCTTAATTTGTTTGGCTAAACATCAGACTGCAGAAAACCTGCAAGGAAGTGTCTAGAGCAAAATTAGCCTTTCTCTCTTAATCTGTGAGGGATTCCTCAGATTTCTTTGACGACTCAGGGTATCAGAGGAACCATAAATGCAGCCGTGAGTATGCACTGCTCTTGCAGATGTGGTCAGTGCCTGCTAGAGCACTCGCAGTTCTCAGTACTGTGCACTGGTGTCTTGTGAGTACAAGAGGCAGCTTGCTGCAAGAGGAACAGGCTCCCCTGTGCTAACCACACCATGCACACGAGCATTGCCCACAAAGCTGTGAGGACACTGTAAGTGTACCCTGTAGCTTATGCCATGGTAACTTTTTGATCTACCCTCAGCTTTAGTTTAATTGGACATCTTATACGAGCTTAACCAAAATGAAATGTGTAATACCCCTTCTTTCTGCCAGCAGGGTTAGGAGAATGACTTACAGCACAGTTGAACTTTAGTTACTGCTAACAGCAGGGCTTTTTTTTACTTGGAGGGAGAATGCAAAGTCGTGGTGGCAGAGCTCAGCGGTTGGTTGCAGTGGTTTAGGTCAGCATGTTCTTGTTATAGAAAATAGAGAGCCAGTGGGATAAAACTTACGTCCTGCAGATGTTTAATGACAGGTTTCAGCAAACTTACGAACTCTTCAGCTATGTAGCACGATATCAGAGCCAGGCACTGTGGACAGTATACTTCAAATAAATATTTAGGAGTTGCCAGTGGAAGCTAAACTTCGAAAAATATGAAATAATTCTCAAAAGAGTTCAGATTTGTTAAAGCCACCAATTTCTTGAAGCTGTAATAGGGAAAGTACTGCATACACGTTAGCTCACGTGTCAAAGAGGAAAGCTTTTGCATGCAAACAAGGGAAAATACTGTTGCTGTTTTAGTAAGATGTTTTGTTCAATGAGCATTTAATCTTTTTATATGTCTTAAAGAGAACTCTTTTCTTTCTCTTTCAGAATCGCAATGAGATAAAAAACGGAGCAATCCTTCGATTAACAACATCTCCAGTGAGTTATCATTCTGTTCCTCTCTCCCCTCAAAGTAAAGATTTGATTAGTACAATCACTGTGAACTACCTTGTGTATTTTCAAGCTTTAGGCACACTATATCCCCCTGCATAGAATGGTGATTGTGTGGTCGCAACATGACTCGTGTTGATCTTTTTTTAATTGAGGGGGCAAGGGCAGTGTTTGTGAGTGAAATTCTGTGATAGGGTTGACACAATTGAGTGTTTTTTTTTTGTCTCTCACTTCTTTCCCATTGAGAACAGCTTTCATGTCTGCTTCCCTGCTGGTACTGCAGCCTTACTCAAGTTCTCTTGTCCTGCCTAAGAGCTCAGAGCCAAAAGAAAGGCTTATGGGTTGAATCTGGAGAGCTCTTTTGGCAGCACAGGTCAGAGCTTTCCTGCTGTCTGGGTTTTTATTGAGTGATCAGCAACTGTAATGTTGAGATATTACTGGTTTTGCTTTATTTTTTTCAATGCCACCTCCTATACGACTCCTCAAAAATCATAGCAGAGTTACTGGTTGCCCTGTAGTGGCCTGTTTTCGTGCTGTATTGAGCAATACTGTTGCCACAGCTGAAAGCATCTTTTAGTCCCAGAAGATGTATTTCTCTGGCAGCAGCAGTCACATTTCCTTACTGACAAACACAGTGTGCCATTAAAATGGTTTACCTCTTTGTGGTGGTACTGTAGTTTCTCCAGATTCAAAGCAGTCTTATGTGCCCGTGCACTGCAGCTCATTTACTCATGCGAGATGGAGCTGTGTTGGTTTAACCTTTGGCTTCTGTTGAATCTATTAAGACTGTGGTCAGTTACTGCCATCAGATGTGAAATCATATCTATCTAGAAGACACAGAGAGATAATAGACACTTTTCAGCCAGTAGGGCCTAGCCAAGTAAAGAAACAGAGAAACGTATTGCTACAAAGTTCTCAGGTCTTCCAGATATCACATTTCACCAGATTTCCACTCTTCCCCAGGCAGCTTAATTTGTTGGTAATTTATTTCAGACTTAGGTGATTAAATTTGTAACTCGGGTTTGTGTGTAAATGGAAAGTAAATAAGCTAATATGAAAATAGATGCATACTGCTGAAGTTTTTAGTTAAAAGTGTGCAGTATCAACCAACAAAAGTGTGGCTTTGTGACAGAAACCAAGAGATCTGTATTATCCTTCATCCTTTTAAGGGTCGAGTACAGGCCTTTATAGCTGCAGGAGCTTAAGATCGTGTCTCTGTCAGAGTGTGTGTGACTCAAAAGCCTCTTGCTCTTTATGTCACCACAGTACTTCACACACGAGAAGCCTCTTACTTGTAGAGTAAGGCCCTTCTGGTGGAAGTTCCTCGATAACAGAAAGCCCCAGCACCAGTTCCCGACTTCTGGACTTGTAAGAACAAATATCCACTCCGCTGAAAAAGGGCGGTCTGTTGTTCATCCCGAGAAATTAAAACAGCTATGGTTGATGGGGAGTCAGAGTGGTCCAGATGTACTGCATCATTCTTCTCCATCGAGTGACAGCGTGAGATGACTCATGGAATCCTTCCCTATCTCAAAATCCACAGCGAGTTGCACCATGCAAAACTGAAAAGAGGCTGTGCTATGACTCATCTGTGCCCATGGCTGTCTGTCTTCATGGTCGCTTGTGAAATTGAAAATATGACCTTCAAAGAGAAGGCAAATTTGGGATTTATAGCACTTTCTACTAATAGCTGTGGGCAGAAGGCTTTGGCCTTGCATAAGACTCTGTTTCTTTGGTAATCTGCCTTAGGTTCATTCAGCCAAGAAGGGCTCCTTAGGATATTGGGCTTTTGCCTGTTTTCTGCTAAGTTATGGACTATGCTGGCACAGGCCTGCAGTTGTGAGTGACAAAGAGATCCTAATCTGCCCTCCTGTTACGTGTTTCTAGAAGGCCTGTCTAGTTTATAGTTGTGAGCACTGATCTTTAACCCTAAACTGGATACTTATTCTCAAGCCTGTTCTATTTTAAGTTTTTCTTAACTTTTCCCCATAATCACGGCAGTAACTTGGTTGGAGGTTTTGAAGGACTGGATTATTTTTGACTGATTAAAGAGCATTTCCATTCTTTAAATAGAGAGAAAGTGCTGCATATTCTTGCCCTGGAATAGGGCTTTTAAGGTACTGCTGAAGTGGTCATCGTAGAGGTACCTAAAATAGATAGATTGAAGACTTCTGAGCTGTGGTTTTTAGACCGCTGACCCACACAATGCTTGTGTTTTACCCTGAGATGCTAACAGGCCATCTGTTTCCATTTTTCCTCTGAAATTCTATATGAAAACAGCAGTAGTGGGAGGAGATAATGTGATGAGCAGCCTGCAAGGTATGCTTCTGCTATACAGGAAAGATGTTTTCCTAGCTGCTAGAACTGAGTGAAAAACATTTTTCTCATCGTGTGATAATACTAAGGTACTGCATCAGTGTAAAGCTGAAACTACCTCCTCCTCCTCCCCTGCTGTAAGAAAATCGTAGTGAAAGCGCTTTTCATGGAGGTGTGGGAATTAGAAAGGAGGAAAAGAAAGATTAAAATAGTGAAGAGGAGCCACGTTGCAGATGATCCAGTGCCTGGGATGCGCCCATGTAATTTCAGAGAGGTGTGAGCTGCCTACTTCCTGGCTGTTGTGGTCAAAAATGTCTGTCCTGAACTTCACAAACCTTTTGAGACTTTTATTTCCTTGGAGAGTTGAGAGGAATGGTTGCAGCCAGTTCTGGAGGCTGCAGGAAGTTAAAATGCTTTTCTAGTTCTTAATTTTCGTGCAGCCTTTTCCCATTAGAACCAACAGTCCGAATATACCCATTCACAGTTACATACCATGAGTCACTGAGAATTGAGCAATAAAGGTGAGATGTGATCTTCTGAGTTCTGCTGCCATTAGTCTCAAGTTGTGAGTTGCTCATCTATCCAGAGCAGGTACTGTTGAAGATTAAAAGGAGAAAGCAAGGAAAAAGGCAGTTCCATCTAGGAGAGATGCAGTAGCATTTTTGGATTGGCTTCCTTAACGTTACGGTTAGAAATCCAGTTCCCCAAATCTGAAGTTAGATAGTGTTTTCTAATATGAAATGTGGATAATTTTGGGTGCATGTATCAGAGCCTTTTTTTCCTGAAAATTACAGTTCATATTGCAAGAGCAGAACCACCATTCTGGTGTGCTGCTAAATCCATCCTAAATGTTTGCCTTCAGAGATTTAGAATGCGTCTATTTTAAACTTCTGTGAGTTAGAACTTTGTGAGCATCAGTCGTCAGTCCTGGTGGGAATTCAAACTGCCTCCTTGTTTCTGCAGCTCCGTTTGCTAAGTTTGTGTGATTCTCTGAAAGGCTGTTTTTTCTAAACAATGCTATTTTTTCCTCTATAAACCACTCAACACACAGACACTCTGTTTCCTAGGTAACTTGAGTACAGATTGAATTTCTCTCACATTATCTTTCTTCCAGTATCATCTGTCTTATTCATTTTCACCCTCCTGTCAACTTTCTTAACAATTCTTCCTGCTTTTGTGCATTTCTTTGCTGTTCTCTGTGACCTGTTTATCTATTTGCATTTCTGAAGGGACTTATCCAAAGTTTCTCATATAACGTGTGTGACAGTTGAAATGCCAGATTGCTATTGCCTATTTTTGATACTCATATTCCAGTGGATGATGGTTAGGTGTATAAATGACCTATAATTGCTTCAGAGTGTGAGACTGTTCCAAAAGGCAGCACTGTCCTGCAGCACAGCAGGAGCCCAACCTTCTACTGTTGCAGCTGTAGGTTTCTTTTGATCAGATCCTGCAAATCCTCCCCATTACAACTAATCATTTTGAGAGGTTGCTAAAACTGGGAAAACTAAGCTAAGAAAACGGCTCTTTTTTTTTTTTAATTTAAATTTTAATGGCTTTCAAACAGAACTGATTATTCGATCACAGTTTATTTTAAAGTAGCTTCTTGGGTACTTAGGAAAACAGGGCTTGCTCATAAACCATATGCCTTTAATGTTGAATCATTGTGTTGCCTCTTCTAACGAGGCACTTAGAGTGCCTAATCATTCTTTTGTCACATACTTTTCTTTGTTTCCCTTGTTGGGGTTCAGTTGAGCCCTTCAACCTCATCCTGATGTTCTCCCTGAATGCTTTTACAGATGTGAGTGTTGTGTGTTGGGCTTTTTTTTCTTCTATCTGTGATCTGTGCAGATATATACTAAAGAATCATGGGTTTTCAACCAGTTTTTACTTAATGCATCTAAATACTCAAATGAGTAGAAGTTTGGGGATCTAATCCCTGTGCTCAATTGACTTAATGACCTTTAAGACTGGTAAATACATAATTATTTAAAGATCAGTGGTGATGCTTATATCATCATCATGTGATGATGAATTCATTATTAAACTCTATACCAAGAGCACAGATTGTAGAAGTAGGTGAGCTCCTTTTATATCTATCTGCTCATAATGTAAGAGGAAGATTTGAGGTGTGGAATTGTTTTTATCCCTTTGTAGATAAATGTTTAGTCTTTTGTTTTCGTGTTTCCAAATTAATATTTTAAGTAGTAAGAAAAAAATGATTATTTCAAATGTGGGGGAAGGAAGAAACAAACATTGCTTCTCAAACATTCGTAAGTCGCTACTGATTGCATTAATGTCTTTTAGGCATATTTGCATAATATGTATGGCTTTGCATCTCTAATGCTTTTATCTTTAATTTAGTACACTACTCTAGACATGGCCATTTCCCTCTTCCTCTGTTTCTGCCTTCATGACAGCATGTAGCAGTTGCACAGGACTACTCTGTGCATTTCAGTTGTACAGTGCTTCAGACACAAATTATACTTGCTGAGTATTTGCATAAAGATGTTAAAAATTAATGCCTTTACTAATTAAAATGGGATCTCATTGCCTACTTAGCATCAAATGCTAGTCAGACTCACTGAGTTTGTTGAATCTGGCTTGCATACAGTGATGGTTACTTAAACACCTGCTCCTCCATTGCTTCCTGTGAATATTCACTTGTAGGTGAAGTGGTTGTGATGAGCCAGGAGAAGGTAGCAGCTGAAACCAGCACAGAGTTTCAACATGTATTGATTCAAAAGAAATCAAAGAAGTGCACGTTTGGTTAGAAAAAAGCTCCATTTGGTAGTTAGTGATGGTTTGTATGCCCTTTTCTAGCTGAAAACAATGTGAATAATATCTTCAGAGAAGATGAAAGTGCTTGTATTTGGTTTTGTTATTCTTTTTGTAGAGAAGAAAGAGGAAGAATGATCACGTAATGATAAAACAGCTACAGAGAATTTTAATCAATAGAGTCCAGATTTCTTCCCTAGCACACTGATATTTGATAGTGGTTGTGTTTGGAATCTTTATCTTCCCTTCCGCCTTGGCTTGCTGTATTTTATATTCTGTGTGCATATGTATAACTTGCTTTCAAAGTTTGATGCACAAAATCTTCGGTGCCAAAGAAGCGATAATTTGTTCAACAGAATCCTTTGTTAGGATGATCTTGGGATTCTTAACCTCCAAGTGACTATTTGAGTCTCTAAGCAAGCCACATCTTGGATTTAGGTCATTAGTTTTCTTTTTAATCTGTCAATCTCATCAAGCTGTTCCTTTTAAGCACTACTTCTCTCGAAGGGCAACCTTTCTGGCTGTCCTTGGAGCAAGTTGTTTTGGACTAGACATGCAGTTTATTCCTCTTGATAACCTTTTGAAATGCTTGGGCTTCTACAGCACACATTCTACAAGTTTTCTCTCTTCCTGCCTTTCTAAATAGGAGAGCGGTTAATGCTGTCTTTCATTTACTTGAACAGACGTGTTTCTGTTGATTCTCTCAAAGTGGTTCTCAGTTGGGCAGATTTTATGTATTTATTTATTGTTCTTATTTGAATGATATTTCAATAAGAGCAGAGACATGGCAGCTAGTTGTGCAGTTGCTTTAATGAGCTGCGCTCTCCTGTCCATCCACCGATGGGCTGTAAATCATTGAAATATCTCCCTGGTAAGTAGTTAAAGCATATTTCATTTGAGTTTCATTTTGTAATGCAATCATAAATGAACTGTACATTCCATAAGCATGTATGAATGCTATGGCAACAAGGCCTAGGTGACTTGAGAGAATTGCGTGGTATTCACTGTAGTAATGTTCTCACCCGTTGGGCATTTGTAATGACAATAGCCAGCACTCCTTTTGGCCATGTTTTCACTGAGACACGTGCTGGTATTTTTGCTGACAGAAATATTTGTTTACCTCTTTGACCAAGATCTGCTATGTCATTGCTGATTCTTTTCCAATTCTAGTGGAGTAAGGTTTGTTGGATGTAAAGCTTGTTCATTGCGCATCAAGTACAGCTTTGTAGAAACTTTGCTGATGGAATGTTGAGCATTGGTCTGATATAGTCTATGGTATTTGTAAGTTCTCTTCTATGTGCTTAAGGCAGGACTCAGCCACATCTGTGACAAAGAAACATGGCACTATAGATTTTGTGCTCTGTGGAGGACACAGAGGCTGTCTCAGATTTAAGATTATGTTTTGGTTTTAGCGTTGTGAATTGCAAACTCGCACTCGCTTCACAGAACCCAGGGCTAACACTTATCTGTTGAAAGGCTGGTCCTGCTGGTGTTTGGTAGTGTAGGTGAGCTGTTAACCTGCTATACTGATATTCTCAGTTTTGGTGAGAAAGAAAGTTAACTTTTTTCCCAGATTCATGTGCAATGGAAGTCTAGAAATGCAGCAGCAGCTCCCTTCCTCAGGTGGCTTTGGTTGAAGCAGGATTTCCCCCACAAGTGGAAGGGGGGAACTTGGTAATTAATAAGCTGTTGCTAATGTGTATGAAGATGAGGGGCTGTTTATGCAGCAGTTACAGCAATGATTCCTCCTGGCACTGTTCACATATATGTGCTTGCTTTCTGCTGTGCTATACGTGAGGTGACCCTACCCACTTATCTGGGTCACAGCTCTGCTGCCCAAGTTTCAGTCCTTCCAGTTTGCTGGTTGAATGCTGCTTAGTCACAGTGAACCTGGTGTTTTGTTCATCTTCTTCAATTTGTTTTATTTTCATGAGGCCTACAAGCCTTCAGAAGACCTTTCCATGGAGATCTGGGAGGACTATAGCCTTCAGTAGGCAGGGCTCAGTAGGCAGGTAGTAAGGGATTTGGGGTGGTACTGTCCCAGAACCGTGACAGATGGTGGGAGATGTGCACCTGCCATTAAGATAGGTTGAATAATTTAAGCAATCTTTTTCAAAGTCAGAGGAGTGAAGCTCCTAGGGCAATATTGAGGACTTTCCAAAGTACTGCATTTCTGAGGTGGAGGGCAATTCAGGCGTTGCGTATATTCTGAGAAAGAGGACATCTTCCAGTTATTCTGGGGAGTCCTGAGAATAAATAGCTTAATTAAGGCTTCTTTTTTGTTTTTCTGGTGAGGAATGAGCTGGCAGTTGAACATCACTTCTTGCAGTAATAGCGGTTGCCCTGAATTCTAGTAGATGCTTCTACCATAGTACTTTATCAATACTTTCTTACCCACTATAAGGAAGATTTGGAGGAAGTACTTTGTGAAGCTGGAAATTAGTGGATTTTTATTTTTTTTTGTGGGTTTTGGCAAGTGATTTAGCCTATCACCTGCTTATGTGTGATTACCATTCAGACAACCACTGTCATTACAAAGAGAAGGCCATCATTTCTCTACTGCAGCTCAAACCAATTGATGAGAGTAGCTAACTTAGGTGGCCAAGAGACAGTTTGGATGACAGAATTCTACCTTGTTATAGGTGATGTAACTGCTGTAGCTGTACCATCTAATGCTTAAGGAATAGAATAGCTCAGGACTACAGATATTCTGTTTCTCTTAGTTAAAGATGCTAACCACAGTTATCTTAACTAGAAGTTATTTCTTCCCTGTACATGGCTTCTTTTCAGCAGATAGGTTCTGACCAAAAACTGTAGACAATACGTTAATTTTTTATGTGTGAACAATGGGAAAGAATAACATTTTCTGATCTGGGAGAGTATTGGGACATTTAATTTATTAATATTTGTCAGGCAGCTAAGATTATGTTGGTAGGAGTTGTCATCTATAACAACACCACTGTTTTATTTATTTATTTTTTTTCTGTGTTCTGTTTGAATGTCTAGTATCTGAGGATGTTGATCTGCAGAGATGATCATCTCTTCATTATCTTCTTGGAGGGTATATAAATTCCTTGGACAGAAAATGAATTGTCTGTCAGCACAAACTTTTTTTTTCCCCCGTTTTGATTCTTCTCTTGCTTAGAAGAAGAATAATCTCAGAGAAAATAATTCTGAGCAGAATTTACCGTTAATCTGGTTTTCTAACGATTCATAGCTTCTCATTGACCTTTCATTCAGTACAGATAAAAAGTGAATTTTGGAAAACAGAGTTCTACAAGTGTCTGCATATAAAGTGGAGAATTGGCTAGATGTATTGGCTAGACTAGCAATTAAATGACACTTGGATACTGTGTTCAGGTAACTGAAAACATCAAATTGAAAATGGGAAACGTAAGTATTTATGCAGCTCAACGGAAGGCAATTTAATACTCTTCATTTAAATATCCCTTTGGCTTTTCTCACATCATCATTGTTCAGTTTGGATTTTTTTTGTCTCCTACTGTATTGGAAGAGTTAATGGACAAAGTAGCAGTAGATATTGAACTAATAGTAGTAGTAGATATTAAACAAAGATGTGTGAATGGTAACATCATAGCATGTGAGAATTAATCATTCCTGTGCTCCTTGTAGAGAGAATTCAGGGTTTAAAATGGGCTCTGGACAAATGGGAGAGAAATGAGGAGGAAGGAGCAGAAGACTTGATGCTGGGCTCTATTGATATAACCTGATTAGGGCAGTATATGGTCTTTGTTACTAAAGGTCACAACAAGTACGTAAACCAGTGTCAAGTGTTCTCAGGAAAAAAAATGCTGCCATTGGTAGACTGATATTGCCTGATCTAATTTATTTTATTTCCACTTCTATTAATATGACACAAAGCTCTTCAAGCCAAAGGCTGTCTTGTCTTCCATAATGCTTGAGTTTTCCCTGGCAAGGTGGGATATCTATCCATTGTTCAACTTACCATTTTGCAACAACCCAAATAATGATATGTAATGGTGGAATAATAAATGAGTTATAAGATTTTGTAAAAATAATATCCATCTGAGCTACTTGCAAGTGCTATATATCATTAATGGTCACCGTTCCTGTGTGTGCTAACATGGTATTTATTATTGCTGTTGTAACAAAAGTTATTTTGTTTTTATTTTATACATTTTATTTCTCTTTCAGGCTCAAAACGCACAGCAGCTCCATGAGAGGATCCAGTCTTCTAGTATGGATGCAAAGTTAGAAGCACTGAAAGACTTAGCCAACTACTCACGGGATGTTACATTTGCCCAAGAATTTATAAACCTAGATGGCATCTCTCTTCTAACACAAATGGTTGAAAGTGGCACAGAGTAAGTATTCCACTTAAATTGTGGTGTTTTTCCTGTATGAAATGTGGATTGGCTCTCTCTTGTTTTGATTACCTGAAGTATTTTTACATACAACTTTTAAGATGGCTTAAAACGAAAGATCTATATAGTTCTGTGCTGCTAGGAGAGTGTATTCAGTTTCAGTGAGAATGTATTACGTACTTTTAATTTTCCTTAACAGTGGGCTGGTGGAAGAAGGGTATGAGCAAAGTCACAAGTACCTACTATGCTGTAAAATACTGAGGGAGGATGTGGTCCTACTTTCTTCCCTTTGAAATTGATATACATCACTGACAGTCTTTAAATGGTGATATTGAAGCGATGTGTGAAAACTGTGTTTTAAATTTAATGTTTCTTGGAACATTGTAGATCCTGTAACAGCAAAACTTGGATAGTTAGCATATAGTGTTAGCATATAGTGTTGCCATCTTTAGTTACGTTATAGTGTTAGCATCTTATTTCTGTTTTTATTACTTTAATTCTGGCTAAGGTTTGTCAAACAATAATGGGTTATTAAAATTGAGAGCTGACTTCTGAAAATCCCATCTGTATGCTTTACCGAAACATCTTTCCAATTTTCACCACTGGTGAAACTTTGAACTGTGGTTGAACCAGATGACTTTCTGTTGTCTTAATGTGGGTGCTGCTACCAGAGATGTATCAGATGAATTGTTGCACTATTAAATTATGTTTTAACAGTTAATACTTCAAGTAGACTTTTGAATTCAAGTGAGAGTTTTTAGTGCATTGCAGTGTGAACTTCTGTATAGGGAGTAAAGCAAAAGTAGTGAATGGGCTTTGAAATACAATCATCTGTTATGATCTCAGCAAGATGTACAGGAAATTTGTCCTTACCCTGCAAAAAAATATCTGCAATCTAGTTTGCTATTTTGGAAAATGTCAGAGCATACTTTTGCTGATGGCTGCCTGTTCTGTTTACAGCGATCTGTTGGACTTTGAATCCTCAGTGCCTAAGTCCAGTGATATACTGGAGTTACAGTATGTCCTGGTTTCATCTTTAGTGTCTTGGGTTTATGGTCTTATTTTTTGCAATGGTGTGGTCTGTGGGACATACTACGTTAAGTTAGTATCTAGAAGCCTTTTTTTCCCCATACATTTGTCAAGTCATGTTCATATGCTTCATGTTTAAGGACCAAATTAAATTAAAGCTAAAGGCTTAAGTTAGTAATAGTACAAACAAAGTTACATCCAGCACTTCCCAGTGAACTAATATAAAATCATATAGATCGATGTGTGCAGATAAATCTGTAAAGATCACAAGCAATTTAAAAATCACTGTATCTATAGTTTGTTTTGTCATGGATTTAGTTCAATGGCTTATTTACTCCACTGCTGAAGGTGTTGAGATTACAGCATTATATTTCGTACTGAAACAAAAACCATTCTTTCTTTTTAAATTTTTTTAACATTTCTTTTAGCTACATCAAGGCTGAAGCCCTGCTTACCCTTTAGATGTATCTGTATTATTGTTTTGTAGCTGAGAGGTAGGCCGAGCTGCACCATACTGTTCTGGATTAAAAATAACATTCTGGGAGGAAAAACTTATTTAACCAGCAGTGATATTGAAAGAAGTACGTAGCAACTTGTCTAGTAGCAATGCCTGCTGAGGACACATGTTTTCAAGTACATAGGAGGCTGGTAGGCTGCACTAGTCTGTTGCATTACTGCTGCTGTTTTTTAGAAGTGACTTTCATTTGGAGGAATTTCAGATTCTTCCTTTTAGCTGGTGTAATGTATCACCAGAGAGGCATTGATCAAACTGTTTGTCTAATCTATTTTTCAGTGTTTCTGCCTGCGTGGAGAAATGCTGTCTAGTTCAGGCAATGAACAAAGATGCAGACAGTAAATATTTCCAGCATCTTCATGTGTTGGTGAGCAGTCAGTACTGAGTGCAGGCTTTTTCATGCTTACCAACCTAGACATTCTGCAGATTTTGAGTGGCCCATGCTTCTGTTTTTAACCAAGTCTCCTTTTGTGAAGGGACATCATCTGTGCTACGCTGTACATTCCATTACACTTCTGTGCTTTGCATCACTGTCTGATAAACATGTTTAACAGCACTTGAGATTTAATGAAAGCAGCAAATCCTGATATCAAGAGATTCAGTAACCTAAGCCTGCTGTGGTACTGCTGCTTCCCTTTCTGGTTTGACTTCAAGCTGTTGATCCTGACCTGCTACTTTAGAGTCAATCATTCATTGGACTTTTGATGTTTTAGCACATTAAGCTGATAGAGAAAGTACTTCTACAGAAGAATCCTTAACATAGTTTCTTTTTTTTTTTTTACTTGATTATTACAACAAAAAAGCTTGTCAAAATGACCTGTAAGCAAACAAACTATGTGTGGGATATAAAGGAGAGAAATATATGGAGAAGAGGGTTGAGCAAACAGCAGTCTTGAGTGTTCTAGGCTAACAAGGAAAAGCAAATGGAATTAGTGTAATATCCACACTGCATGGGGCAGTGGTGAAGGAGGAAGGAGCAGGCAGAAGTTTGAGGAAAGTACAGAAACTTCTCTGGCTGTTTCAGAAGGCACTGTATTTTGTAAAGATACCCTCAGTGTATATCATTACTGTGCAGATGTCTTAGCCACCACTGAGTTGCTGTTCAGTCAGCCTTAACTGAATGAGACTACAACTCAACCATGTAGCTGAGGAACCCTGACAGTTTGATGCTGCTGTGTGTAGTCCAGCTGGTCCAGCTCCAGGCCCTCTTCTGTGCTACTCCTTGCTCTCCAGAGCAGCCCTTCTGCCTACCTTGAATTGATTCTGTTGTCTGGATTCTTCACAAAGCCAATACAGCTTGTTAACTTGGGAAATATTCACTTTGGTTTTGCGCAGATTTCTGCTCATTTTGAGACTTGCAGCTACAAAGGAAAAGGACATGAATAAATGCAGAAAAGATGTATAGTTTGTTCGTTTGTTTTCCTCTTTCTTTTTTGTCTGCTCTGATATTAGAGCCCAGTGATTGGCATAAAGTCTCTGAGGGATTGCAGGAGGTGAGTCTGAAGCTGTTCTGCATGCAGCCTCTCTTGTGTGCTATGCTGGCTGCCTGTGAGTTTATGCAGCTGAGGAGAGCCCTGTGTTGGAAGAGCCCAGGTTGAGTGAGGCCTCTGTTCATGGAGTGGTGCAGCTGTGCTAGAAAATGATGGATTTTGTTAATTCAAGCTTTATTCTCTATTTTCCCCAAAGGGGCAAACAGTGCTCATTAGAAGTACGATCATGCTCAGTGTAAGGTTGCTCTGAGGTTTTCTTTGCATGTGGAGCTCATGTTAAGGGCAGCTCTTAAGTTATAATTTGAACCTGTAATTAAATTTTAGAGGGCAGCTACTGGAAATCAAGACTCCAGCTAACTTTCAACAAGAGGCCTATGCTGTATTTATAGTTGACTTTATTTACTGTGCTACTTACTAATTATTTCAGTGAAGCTGATGCCTATGAAAGTATAGTGGCCAAAGCAAGGGAATGAAAGTCCTGAGTTTTTAGTATTTTGCTAGTGATTTTCCATATGTTATATCCCTGAATATTGAAGGAAGCTAGAATGTATTAAAAAAATACATTCCAGTTTGTTGATAATGAAATTAAAAAATTAACAAACTGAGAGAGGTCTTTTTAGATTTTTTATAATAGTTATTTAGCTTATTATGTCTTTATTGTGTATCAAAAGTGTTACCAGTGCTATGTGTAGCTACAATAATTTGGGCTAGGTCTCCTTGAGTGCCTTGTGCTTAGAGCAAAGGAACTGTAGGCATGCTGTGTGCTGGGACAAAGCCATAGGGATTGGTGGTGAGCAGATTGCAGGATGTGTGGGGCTCATGGGAATTTGAGAGAGCATCTTGTCAATGTGGATATATTTATCTTATCACAGAAGCAGCATGTCTCAGAAACTGTCCACATCCATCTTTAATCCTGCTGGTTGAGGTGGCTCATTTTTGTTTTGCCTTCAGGCTCGTCCTTGTTTCCAGTGTTGTGAGTCTTTTATTAAACAATAACAAAAAAGTTTGGTTTAGGTTTATTTTTGTGGTTCATGTGACCTCTAAGTTATAGGAGAGACTGCAGTACAAGTTAAGTCATGAAGAACAACTAAATGGTGATTTCTTTTTATAATTATCCATGATGTTGAATTATTTCTTAGACTTGGTGCATCCTTATCACAGAAGGGGTATGTATACAAACAGTTATTTTCCTTAGAAGAGAATTCTTCACAAATAGCTTTCCACAGCACTCCTAGCAGTAGTTTTCACTTAAAGCCCAGTTTCTTCTTGTTTGAGGGAAGCTGAATATGCTATCTGGTTGGATTTATAGGTAGTGCAAAAGGGAAGAGTAGAGGCTGTATTTCTTGTGCTCCCCTCCACAGACTGCAATGCACTAAAAGGAGGGAGAAGGAAAGCAATGTTAGGGGCTCCTAAATACTGTACTGACTGATGAAAAATGCATTCAGGAGCCAAACTGGAAGAAATGATCATTTCTCAGTGCTGCCCCATCTGAGATAATGTAGGTCACTCAGAGAGATATTCCACAGTCTAGTCCAGTATTGATGTTTTTGGAAAATTACAGCTGTATCGTCTTTCTGATGTTACAGACTAGTAAAGATGTGGTGTTTCTCTCCTTAATGTATCAGATGAGGTGTGTAACTGAAAAAGTCAGCCTTCCTTAAAAGGCCAAAAAGAGCCCCACTGGTTCTCTATAAAATAAGGAAAATATAAGTCGCAAACCATAAATGTTGGAAGACTGATGCAATGAGAGGAACCTGAATGTATTTTTGTCACTACCAGTAGTAGTAATAATAATCATCATCATCTCATGACTAGGAAGAAAAGCAGGAAGACCCTGATTTTCAGTAGTGGTTTTTTTTTGTTTTGTTTTGTTTTTTGGCAGTGTTGCTGTCTCTGTCACTTGTCGTTTGGCTGAAATCATGGGCAGTTTTTGCCAAAAAGCTGAGCCTAGCTGAAGTTATGCAAAG